CTAATTTTCTAAAATCATTAAAAGTGCAAAATTAGATATCAACCTTATTAATTTTATTTTATTTTATAACTGCCGTTGAGCAGCTGACCGAATTTTGGGTTTACGATTACTAATGTTCAACGCTGTAGATTTGTAATCTTAAATCCAATCCAGAAGACAAGGGAACTCCTACATCGAACATTGGGGGAAAATTTGCCTTCGTCAAGGACTTTTTTGCTGAAATTAACCCGCATTTGCGTTACATGGAGAGGAAAACCACGAAAAAAAAACCTTGGAAAGAAACGTGTTAGCCTAACGACAAAGAGATTCTAACACATAATCCGTACACTACTGTTGATATTGCAAATTACAACTGTGGTTGGTGCAAACCGGGTGCGTAATTTTCATCGGCCAACAATCGCTGGGATTCGTACCCGGTTCATCTCAATGGAAGGTGAACGCTCTATCCCCTAAGCCATCACGGCTCAATCTTATTAAATATAAACTTTAAATTATCCGATATAATATAACTACCTCGCACACATATATTTTTGGGCCAATCCAAGGTAACTAACAAATCAAACGTACTTAAGTATTGCAGTAAGAACGCTTCATAAAAGTTCCATTTGCGCTTCTGTTTTTCATATTTTGTAATCCATCAATCTTATTACGAAAATATTTTAAATCATTCTTGAAAGATTCTAGTACGTGTAAGTTCATTTGAATTCACCGCTCGCTTTGTAGATTTAGTTTTCTGCTTTGTTCTGTATTTTCTTTACATTTTATTTTTTGTTTTCTGCTTGATATGTTTTATGTCGTATGTACTTTTTGCTTGATGTGTTCTATTTCCGTTTCATTTTTTTAGTGCTTTTCGCACGATTGTATTGATGTATTTTGCTTTATCTATATTAATACAATATTAGAAAACATTGATGCAATATTAGAAAGCACTCCTTTTCGTGGACATAATGATATAATATAATGATGTGGATATAATGATAGCTAATAAAGTGATTATATCTTTTCATTATTTTGTTTTCCGGCTTTTTAGTATTTTTTTAAAAATAATTTTTTTTAAGTATTTCTTAAAATTTTTTTATTTTAATAATTTTTATTCTCTTCTCATTAATCTTTATTATTTTCCATGTTTTCTTCCTATTTTTAACTATTTTTATGAGTTCTATATACTTGCAGCTTGTGCGCAAAGAATAAAACTTATTAATTTTCTTTGTGTTTCACTCTTTTCTTCTTATCTTTTTTTGCTTTTTTTGTGACATATATATACTAATTACTGTTGGTGCAATGATTTACAGTTGATGACGAAGATAAAGTAAGCTAAATAAAATTTCATTAAAAAAAAGTTAATGTGAATTGGATTTTAATCAAACAGCTTTCGACATTATAACACAACTATAACACAACTATAACAAATCTATCTTATCAGATGAGAATGTCAGAATTAAAGCATTTGAAAATTCAGTTTACGAGAATATGACGAATATATCCGTATACTAAAATACGATAAATCATCTATTGCCACACAATGTTAAAATATTGGTATTTTGGTTATAAATTTAACTTCGATGACGTCGAACTTACCACCATTTCTATGAGGACGAATTTCTCCCAACTCATCTTGATGCTGTGAAATCTTGTTTCATTCATATGAATAACGATTCCCTTGATAATGACACCAGTTTTTCACCATTTTCGCTTTATAATTGGCTATTTATCCTGCTTTGATTTGCAACTTTAAACCACCATCGTACTACTCGGCTACCACGGTTATCACCTTTTTTGTGTTTTTCTATTTTATTTACCTTCCGTTTAATTTTCTTTTTCTTTTCTTCATTAGAAGCACAATTTTTTAGTTCGTTTTTGTTTGTTTTTTTCGAAACTGCTTAGCTTTCATCAATTGCGTGTTGCTGAGCATCTGTTTTGAGTGTTTGAAACATCTTGATTTTCCTGTTTAATTTTTGATGCTAAATATAATCACAGGAACAAAAGTTATTTAGGATATCTGTTTCTTTCTTTTTTTTCTTTTGCACTCTAAACATAATTGATAGCTAAGTCATTTTCTGCTAATGAGAATTTGATTAAAATTAAAAGATTTTGGGCCAGCGTTAGACTTAAAATGCTCCGAAGGAGGGTTGGCATCTAATATATATAATACGTGGCTCCCAAATTTTGGCTGTATCTCTGTTCCGCCGGTGGCAACGTTTGCCTTGTTTTGTTTACGTTACTATTTCTCTTACACGGCGAATCGACCCATGATTGCCGCTAAAAATATCACATACCAAATCTAGCTGAGCTGGCTCAACATAGAGCGCTTTTGAAAAAGGGAAACTGAAATAACCAGAGAGCATCAGCTGCGTCAATTTCATACTATTAAGCTAGGCAGAAGTGAATAGTCTTTGTCGATAGATCTCTATTGTAGTATTTTGTCGAAAGCGCTTTTTTCACGAATTTATATATTATGAATTTACTTGACGATTTTTGATTTATATCACGAATTATACTATAGCACATATCTAATAGGTTTAACGAATTACATGTCATTTATTTGAATTCAAATTTATTTTAATGACTTAGTATTTACTAAAAAGATGTAATTTTTTTAAAAAAAAGTTTTTATATGGATTTGAATGATTGTTTTGAATTCTTAGAATTTTGTGCATTTGCAATGTACCCAAGTTAGTAACGAGCGAAGCGAACTTGGTTTGCGAAGCAAACCATATAAGATTAAGTAGCAATTTTTGGGGGGTTGGCGAGCGTTAGCGAGCAGGGGGCGCAGCCCACTAGTATCAAATAAACTACCAGTGATAAATTTTTTATCATTTTCTTTCAGTTACTTTTTTTAAATAAAAATGTTCTTCTTTAAAGTTAATGTTTTTTTTCTACTTTACACCATTGCCCTACTTAATAATCGGCTCATCACGACCATACAAGCCAATCAAAAACAATCGTTTGATTTAAAGTCATGTACTCTGAGTAAATGTATTATATAATACTTAATCTATATATATAAAAGAAAGTCGTGTTAGTTACTTCACTTATAACTCAAGAACGGCTGAACCGATTTAGCTGAAAATTGGCAGGGAGGTAGTTTAGAGCCAGGAGAAGGACATAGGATACTTTTTATCCCGTGCGATAAACCGTTCCAGCGATATCAGTGAAAGTCGAAATGGAATTTTCTGATTGGTTAAAAGCTAGCCATTGTTTTAAATTTTGCTATAAACGATTCAATTTTCAAATATCTTGAAGATAACAACAGTGATATTTTCTATCTTATAACTCTATTCATTTAGAAAAGTAAATTAAAGTAAATTGCATATACTTTAATTTTTAATTCGCGC